GAGAGAGAGAGAGAGAGAGAGAGAGAGAGAGAGAGAGAGAGAGAGAGAGAGAGAGAGAGAGAGAGAGAGAGAGAGAGAGAGAGAGAATATGACTGTGCTGAACCGTACAGGTGGATGGTATCTATCCATACTCAGTGTACGCAGTGTTTGGGGAAGGTGGTAGATAAGTAGAACAAAAAAAAGAGAAAGTTTGGAAGTTCACACACACACACAAAAAAAAAAAAGAAAAAAAAAGCTGTCTTCTCCTCATATATGGGGTACAAGCTGTATTTTTTGGTACCCCATTTTCTTCTCTCAATCCTGTATCAACCTCACACTAGCTACCTACCTAATGGGTTACCTCTTATTCCGGAGGACATAATTTCTTAGTTCAGGAGTCAGACCAACTGTGACTAAGCTATCCTAAGGTTATGGGTCTATTCCTACCTAACTTGGCTCTGTGGGGGAAGCAGGACCCAAGCTCCTAACACCTGGCAGGAGCTGGAAAGTGCAACGCTTCCACAACCAGCGATGAGGGACAAGCCGATTTTCTCAGTCGGGGGAAGTTCACAAGTTCTGAAAAGGAAGAGAGAGAAGGGGGGGAGGGGAGGGGGGAGGGGAAACCTTCTCATCAGTCATGGCAGTCTACTGTTGTGTGAAAGTTCGGCCATGTATTTGTGATAAGTTTCAAATATTATGTATTGAAATAGTACTCCTTTTTCCTTTCCGTACATCCTTCTGAAATCAGCTTTTAGACTTTTAGTGTATATGGTGACTTTTTGCATGTGAAATCATCTCCCCCTTGTGTACATGGTGGCTTTTTGCAGATTCGTTGGGGCCAGCGTCACCCATTCTTACCAGGGATCAGGTAATGCCTGACTCCCCACAGATGCGACAAGCTGGCTTTGACAATGCTGTCAGTGTGAAGCAGTACCTGAATGCCACGATTGTGCCGATTCTGAGAGAAGCACTGCGTGCACTGGTGAAGGCGAGGTATGATATCAATGATCAGTACCAAAGTGAGCGGAACACGCCAGCAGTTTCTTGAACTTGTTCCTATCAGCTCATAACTTTACATCATGCGTTGGAGGGACAAATGAACAATTTCATGCAAAACTTACAATCTTAGTCCTGAATCCCCTACTTATCTTCCTACCCTCTCTCCCTCCTGTTTGGGTGATTGATGTATCAGTCGTTGTGTGTGTCGATATCCACTCAGCAACCAACTGAAAGAATGCAGCAGAACTGTTCCTTTGTGGGGGCGTGCTGCAGAGCTGTATGTATGGCGTGAAGGGGAATGCATGGGCATGCTGCCCTTCTTGGTGAACACACATACTCTGCGAGATGTAATACCCCTCTCATATGTGTTCAAAGTGAATCTTTCCCTTTATCTTTATGGTTTTGCTTCTTTGAAATCACACTTCTGATTATTCAACTTGTCGTGTATGCAAACAGCGAAACAGCAACTGGCGACATGCGCCCACACAATACTCAAGATATCGTAACCAGATATGAGTTCTCTTCAACTGGCTATGGCGACTGGGCGCCCACACAACTCACTGTTCGCACTCTGGATCACCCTGGATGTCCCACACGCAACACTCAGTATCATACTTCACACACCACACATGCTAGGCTACAGCTATGGCAGCGCTAGCTGCCACCACCTATCGCTGCACTCTACTCCTCTGCCCACTTCGTCTTC